GCCGACCACGCAACTACTACGAAATTACTGCAAGTGTACCAAGTAAATGGTTCGATGCTAGAAATCATCATGACTACTCGGGCAGAAGACGCTAGACTGGATACGTTCGACGAGGTCTTGCTGTCGCTCCGACCTAGTTGCCAATACTATGCCAAGCCAACATTGTGCGGCTAAAGGAAACTGCGACCAAACAAAAGGACACATCATGTTGCTCTTCATACCTACCAAAAACTAAGTTAAATTCATTGGCATCGTGAGTCGTTAATTACTTGACATAGGATGACAAAATTGTAATAAAATTCTACTTATTTTAAAAACAAGTAGTGTAGAAAAATTCTACTCAGAAACTACCAACGTTAATTTCTTACCTTAACATGCATACACAATCTGATTTGTATTCATCCCATATTGTTTAAGGTCATAAGGGGAATGGTAGATGAACTTTCCCACAATTATATGCTACGTTGCACTAAACCGTTCGGATCTTGCTTGGGGATTTGAGTGAACTTAGACTGGGTTGTAACTGTAGTCCACTCCCGCCTGGGTGAGAATGCCCTTTGGGAAAGCAGGGCTAGGTGAAATTGAATGGAAACGCAAGTTCTATTCATATCATTGTCGGAAAATTCAGCCACTAATCCCCTTAGGAGGTTAAACGAAATTGGCAATTACACCACATATATATAAGCTCTTCTAGTGGTCTCGAAAACCTATTCTTACACGAAATATGCTTAGACAATCTCGTGGATATTGTCATTTCGTATAAAAGTGTGACTGATGAAGAGATTTGTAACTCGATCCCACCACAAGACGTTTGGCTTTAATACGACGTTCAGGTTGCTGCAGTTCACGAGAAATCCTCCCTCGTTTCGGGCGAAAACGGGCTCGTCAAGTCATTAAAGTCATCAGAACTGGGACTCGTTCTTGTAAAAGTCTCAAGTTAACACAAAGTCAAGAAGAGTGACTGGAGATTTCCTACTTGATATTATATATATTCAGTCATTCTTCTTCTATCTATATTCTTGAACGACTGCATTAAAACGAGATTAGGTTGTCGTCTTGTGTTGAGATCGACCTAATAATCTCTTCATCATGTACTTTCACGCGAGATGATAGTCTCCACAGCAATAATCTCTCCGGAGATTAACCAAAACCCACTTTTTCATTGTATATTGATAGACAAGCATACATACCTTCACATATGCTCCTAAAAGGACATATGACATGAACTAGCCAAATCACTCAATACCTTTAATAATAATGCATAGTTTTATAGCATATATAGCTCACGTAGGGATAAACAGATCAGGTATATTCACCCTATTCCGTTTAACGTTATATGGCGACTGTTACTTGCATTTTCCTACAATGATATGAATATACCTTACATTTCCGTTAAATTTCACACAGCCTTGCTTCCCAAAAGCTACTCCCATTCAGGCTAAAGTGGACTGCAGTTACGAGCTCACCTAGGTCTTATCAACACGCCCAACGGAACTCGATCCATGATACGACAACGTGTAATCACGACACATTAACCACTACGCCAGAATGCCCTTGCGTAACAGTAGGGATGTGAATTGAAAGGAGACAAATAGTTTTCCCATATCACATTCTATGGTAGAATTGTCGATGAAGTTCAGTTGTAGTTGTTATAGCGATCGAATGTGTTACTTAGTTTTCGTTTATAAGCAGGCTTTAGAGACTACCAGTGTGAGGTGTATTCAACCTAGCTGACGCTGTTTCCGAGGCAATCCCCTTCGATTCAGGTGAAAAGGCGCTAAGCTCTCGTCGGTCATATGACGGACATTATCAGAGCGAGGTATCATCGTCACAACAAAATTGAAGCTAACGAGTCAAGAAAACTCAACGGCAAATCCTTAAAAAGTGGTATATATATACTCTACATCTGGCCTTTTTGATCCAGTATAAAGTGATTTGGTTAGTTAAGGTCATATGTCAACTTCGATGCCTGTGAGTGTGTCTGTCTCTGTGTGTGTATGTG